GAAAAAGCCAGACTGATGCATACATATTCACCTTGGCGAGGGGTCTAATTTGCACATTTCAAGGTCGGCTATTAGGGAAAAGGGAAAAGAGAAGTGTGAGGTTGGAGTTTGCGATTAAAAGCTGTAAGCGCAACTTGTTTAGGAATCACATTTCTTTGAGATTTTCCAGCACAGGGTTGGGAAGCACTGTTTGGTCGCGGGGAGCTGGTGAGTCGTTTATGGTCTGGGGCATTTTCTTGATCCCCTCCCCTTCTCCTCCTTTCCTAGTCGGTAGCCATAATGAAGAACGATTGCGGTGATAGGATTTGAGTTCTCGTCTGCGAAGTGGCCGCATTGCGCACGGTCTAGCAGGCTGTACATTTACTTCCTATATAGCCCTGATCCCTTCAAGCAGTAGGGTGGAAGGGCATGGATTGGAGCGCTCCCGGGGCGACCTTCTCCCTCCACCAACAATGTCATCTGGAATTTGCGAGGAAAGTGGTGGGAAGGACCGTTGTGGCTGCTCTCCAACTCAGCCCCCTTCACAATTTGTAGCGTTTCCAGAGAACATGGCTATAAGTGAGCTTTCAGTGCAGAAGTTCCATGTTCACTGTTGGCTCCTTATGCAAATGTCACCATGTGAGACCAATTGTAAGACAAATCCTTGACACAACTTGGCTTGTTGAACTACTCCCAGGGAAGCATTAGGACGTACTCTGTGTGCACTGTCCCTGACAGGGGCAGTTGAATGGCATTCATTCTTCAAACTCGAGCGATTTGAAACTTCCGAACCAACAACCGACGACGCTCTACAGCTGAACCTTGAGCAGCTGCAGCTGCTGATGAATTCGCATTCAGGACAAAGCTTCATATGGCCGCCGAGCCTGTTCAATATACAGCTGCGAAAAAAAACTTGGAACAAGCCAAAAAGCGGACTTTTCTATCGAATTATTACTGGACTTTCATTGACTTGTGTACCGATATATTGTGAGTGTAGATAATGTGAGCCGATTTCTTTCCAAATCACTAAAAAATACCCTAAGCAAAAAGAGAAGTATGTTGAATCCAGGTTCCGACACCAAGGCCAGCTCTCGGATGACAGAATGACCAAGTAAAAGCCTTCGCCTCAATCCTAACACGCTTTAAGATGAACGAAAGAAAAGAAGGACACCAACACAACTGAGCACTTCCATGCATTTCAAGGAGTTTGGAAGCGAATATCCGCCGATACCCTAGAAATCCTATGAGGCCGATTATACGGATTATGAAGCACGGCACATCGTTGTTGAGGATTCCCCAACAGAGTGGTCCCTTCTGGTCGCTGGGAGAGGGGCGGGTCGTATTTGGGTTGAGAAAAGTTTATTCTGATTGCTGATTTTTCTCGTTCCACGAACGTTGCAAAGGGGAGGGGGATGGCATTTTTCTCGTTGTTGGGAGTGCGGGTCGTGTTCCCCTCCGACCTTCTGAAGAAGGTTGTCTGACTTCTTGCAATTTTTCCTGTTTCATGTGTGCTACACCCCCTCTACCCCTCCCCGCTCGACAGGTCGTACCAACCCTCTGAAAAAGAGAGGATCACACTGACTCGACCAAAATCACCAATTAGTGATGTGGCCTGTGATGAAGACTCTAATCAAGTTCACTAGTAAGCAAACCAAATTGAGATCGCTGATTAGTTTTCTACTTGTTGAATTCCCGCTATTTACCTTTTCACTGTGTTGCTGTTGACGAATAGCTTCAGAACTGTTTACGATGCGTTTTTTTCAAGTTTTTTTTTCCGTATCGACAGAGTGCGGTCGGTTGCACCTGCACTGAGTTCGTTCCTCTCTAAGTTTCTGGATGTCGTTCGAGTCACGAAGCACGAACGCCTAACTCGATGTGAAGGTGGTACGAGTCCTCGGCGTGAAGTGAGACCAGTTTTGATGTTGTAGACAATAGAAAGAACTTAACGGCCTGTGTGTTGGAGAACAAGTTCTTACGTCTGTTTTCATTGCAAGTTGTATAGAGCTCAACGCTTGTTGTGAGCTTATTGAAGTATTTCTCAGAATAAGACCTCGAGACCTTGAGCCGAGGAGGGCCGTTCTCAGTGGAGCTAAGATACGTAACATGCCTGCTCGTTTGCGCTTCATGTGATGTGTTCTGAGATGGCTCTGCCAGCGTCGGAACACGCCGCTAGTTTCTCTACCCGTACCACTTCCCTCCTCAAACACGACGTTACCCAGAACATGGCGTTACCCAGAACATGACCTGGCTGAGCTTCACTGGAGTGTGATCCCTTCCAATGCACATAACCTCTGATACTGCTGTTTAGAACACCTTTACCACATTTATTCAATAGGTAGAGCGTATAATGGTACGGCGTACGGGTATAATGGTAATGGTAAAAAATTTCTTGAAGCCAGTAGCAGCGGTGCGATTTTCACTAGAGGCGAAGGCGACGGCGCTGCGCTGATTTCTCCGACACTGGAAGAAGTTGCGTATGTCGCCGCGGAGTTCCTTGTTGAACATCAGCAGAGAGAACGGCGGTATACTGACCATAACATCATTCAGCCAATAAAACTGTAAAAAACATAATACCAGGTAAGTTGGCTGATGTTGCACAACAGTAATAAGTTGCATGATCTCGTAATAAAGCACTTTATAAAGCTGAAGAGATGATACAACAAAATGGCCCCATATTATGTTGATAAGGTTCCTCGAGCCTTACAAATCGAGATTTTGAGAAGAGATATCCAGGAACTAATCTCGGGTACTATGCAATTAGACAAAAGCAATATTCGAGTGTGTAACAACAATGTGAAACTCCAAAAGTTTATTCCAAAAGACTCAAAAGACAGTGAAAGTCTCAAAAGTTTGTTATAATATATCTTAACTTGCAATATTTCGGTGCGTAGCACCTTCGTCAGGCCTGAAAATATTTAGCTTGTTTTGTTGGTTATACCTTCTACAAAGTGCAACCCGCACGGACCCCACCCCCACCAAGCCACTTACCAGTTGTCCCGAAATAAATGACCAACCCACCCCAACCATGCCCTTAAATAGTGGGATACTTGTGGCGCGATCACATTATCACTTGCATGATGTCACGTAGCTCCTCCCTGTTGTTTATTTCTGGTGAGAGCCGTTTTATTTCCAGAGCCTCCAATATTTTCCTTTCCATTGTGTTGATGAATACAATGGAAAGGAAAATATTGGAGGCTCTGGAAATAAAACGGCTCTCACCAGAAATAAACAACAGGGAGGAGCTACGTGACATCATGCAAGTGATAATGTGATCGCGCCACAAGTATCCCACTATTTAAGGGCATGGTTGGGGTGGGTTGGTCATTTATTTCGGGACAACTGGTAAGTGGCTTGGTGGGGGTGGGGTCCGTGCGGGTTGCACTTTGTAGAAGGTATAACCAACAAAACAAGCTAAATATTTTCAGGCCTGACGAAGGTGCTACGCACCGAAATATTGCAAGTTAAGATATATTATAACAAACTTTTGAGACTTTCACTGTCTTTTGAGTCTTTTGGAATAAACTTTTGGAGTTTCACATTGTTGTTACACACTCAGATAAGAAATGAGACTCCGGGACAGCACCACACTCCAAAAGCAATATTCAAGATACTGAGGAGAGTCCACCCGGGTAACATAGACAGGACATATGCGGAACTGGTTTGCAGGTGTGAGCCCGCTTGCATGCGCCACTTTGTAATCCGCTGTCGCGTACTGGACAATTTTGAAAAACGTTTGCGAATTCCTGAAAGCTGCGAAAAAAAACCGATGACAGTTTAATTTGACTGCCACTCCTCTGATTTTTCAGTCTGAACGTATTTACTGTAGTGGAGAGAAAGGTTAGTGATCCAGGAGACCCTGGGAAACGCGAAGCACTAACGAGCTCCAAGACTGCTGGCGTGTTATGCGCGAATCACTCATTTTCAAAACAACAACTACAAAAATCGCGGCCGTTTCTCCGCTTCCCCCCTTCCATAACGCATCTCAATTATTTTCGGGAACTATTGTCTTACGAGAGCTCACCTACGATATTGTAGTACATACATCATATGTTGTGGCCCTCAAACTATGCAAAAAACAGTTTGGTAAACCGCTCCTTGTCCGGAAAGACAACCGTTGTCAGTGCGGGTGGAAGCTCATGAGGACTGAGTGTCGCTGAGCGACAAAAAAATCACAACCATTCTGTCGTTGCAGAGCGAGATGTTCCTGCTGAGAGTTTCCCGAGTTCCGACCCATTCAAAATATTACTGTTACTAACCTGCATAGTTATCCACGAATGAAATGCCTCACTTTCAGTCACGGTTGCAACTTCTCTCAAGACTTGTTGTGTGCACATTAGCATAGTGAACAGGAACACGATTGTCGTATAAAACAGCATGCCCTGAACATTTTAAAGTCAGTTGAAAAACAAAAGATTCGGTTCCGACTACCTCTCAGAAAACTTACCCTCAACTCCTCATGACATAGAAGTCGTTGAGTACTAACGATCACGAAGTGCACTCACCCTCTCGTTGTGGAAACGTCTCGCGAACTCGCTGGCTTTCAGTAAGCCATGTAGAAGGACAAGCGATCTGACGTTGAGAGTAACGCTAACTACTGCGTAAAGTAGACATGTGGCAGTGTAAGTGGCTCCGTTAATCTAAAAACTTCCGAGATTATCGTCACCCGATGTCAATTTCTCTAATGCTTATCATGGCATGCTTCTCAGCATGGTCACGGTTTCTGTAGGGCGCATGAAGTATGAGTATTTTCTGTTTTCTACAAGATAGCGTTCAAACTTCGCACGTGCGCGACGCTGTAATGCGCTGTGACATGCTCTGATGAGCTGCAATAACAACAGCGCTCCAAAGCTATAGATGCGAACGCAGTCACGGAAGGCCAGTACCAATCGATACCAGTCTGCGTGACTAGACAGCACTACCAAACTTTCCCCACATGCCCTGTCACAGTGCAAGCGGTCGGCGCCCATCGATCGATCGTTCGCAGACGAAACTCGTTCGTGTCTATACCTTTAGAGCAAGGTCGACAAACTTTGAAAGAACATTTCAGAATCATTGTCACGGAATGCGTCCGACGGTGGAGCTTTCATCACAGATGACCACTCCAACGGGGATCTTCCGCTAGAACAGAAGATACAGTACGATTCTTCGTAACAAAACTAACCAGAACGCTAAGTCTATCCACACCCACGAATAGGTAAGCTCCATCATCTTTTCGGAGATATGTGTATTCTGCTCCGAGTTGTGGAATGAAAACTGCAATGGCACAGCCATATTGTAGCCCTATTATAATACGTACATTTCTTCTGTTCCAAACCTTAAAGTAGTCATTAGAAGCGACTTCCCATACTCATCAATTGAGAGCAGACATCCAATTACTGTGCCTCTCTCTGTCGAGATTCTCTCCTTCTGAGGCTGTGAGTGGCGAGATATCAGATGAAGACTCCCTGGTCTCAGGGTCAACGGAAAAACCGGGCCGGGCGGCTTATTTCGGACTTTATAGCGGTTGCAGTTCGGAAACCGGCGAGCAATGTCCTGCTCATCTGCCACTGCGCTACAGTTACATTCATTGTTCGACCTAGGTGAGCTTGTATCTTTTTCTGTTTATCAGCAAATCCTTGTCAAGATTTTTTCATCATTGATGTTGTCTACTCGTTTTCTTAAGGTGAGTTCTTCTTCATGTGGATTTTTTCTGGAATGTATGTAGTGTATAGTGTATTTTTCGTAAATGTTTGTAGAATTGTTGACTCCCTTAGCCATCACAACATCTATGAGGATGAGACTGAGCTCTGCAATTTGTCACCAATGTCTTTACTATTGGTTTATCTTGGGTGAGACAAGGTTGACACAAGGCTTCGTAGCAATATATGTGCTGAACTTTTCATTTTTGAGCTGAAGCTACCAAACTGTTCTTTCTCATACCTAACCTTTCTCCAGTCCACTCTGCTTAAATGAAATTTGTATCATCTCTAGCTACAGAGTTCTCAATATAATATGTTCAGTGTCTCCTCTCCAAATGTTCATTAACACTTGCTAATGCTATCACAAGAATGCTGAGTTATGGGCAAAAGTCGGACCACGGACGGGATTCGAACCCGCATCTTCTGCTTACCGGGCAGTTGCGTTCCCATTACGCTACCGGGCCACTGACGGAAGGCGAGAGTGCTCGAAGGGTCAGAGGGCAGGGGAAGAGATAGAGGTGAGGAGACGACGGACTCAGCTCAATGGCTATTTGTGCCATTACCTTCAAGCACTCACACGTTCAACGTGATGAGCCGGTTAGCCGATATCGGCAGTGAACCGCAAGGCTGAAGGCTTTTTACAAGTTTCAAGCTGTTATTGTTTGTAACTTGTAAAAAAGCTGCCCGGTAAGCAGAAGATGCGGGTTCGAATCCCGTCCGTGGTCCGACTTTTGCCCATAACTCAGCATTCTTGTGATAGCTTTCGATCGCGTACTGCGGCGTTAAACAGCAGTTATCAAACAATAACAGCTTGAAACTTGTAAAAAGCCTTCAGCCTTGCGGTTCACTGCCGATATCGGCTAACCGGCTCATCACGTTGAACGTGTGAGTGCTCGAAGGCAATGGCACAAATAGCCATTGAGCTGAGTGGTCAAAAGTGGCCTCGGTAGCGTAATAGGGAACGCAACTGCCCGGTAAGCAGAAGATGCGGGTTCGAATCCCGTCCGTGGTCCGACTTTTGCCCATAACTCAGCATTCTTGTGATAGCTTTCGTATCGCGTACTGCGGCGTTAAACAGCAGTTAACAAACAATAACAGCTTGAAACTTGCTAATGCATTTCACGCAACGCCCCCTCAGAAACAGTTTAGCCCTCCTCGTGCGAGTGCGAAAATGGTAACCACATTTCTTGCTGAGACGCCATTTGATAAGGACGAAGCTTTGACGCGGGCGGGGTAGAAACGACGATCACTAGATCGTCGTGATCGTCGTTCCGACTCCGCCCACGCTGTGATGCCAAAAAGCAGCATTCACGAATGAGTTTGTCTTTCCCTTTATGTTGGACACCTCTGTCAGTTCAATTAGGATAAATCATTCTTCAAAACAAAGTTCTGTGAGCGGTCGTTCAAATCAATTTTGACCATGCGGGAAGGTACTCGGTCGACGATTTCGCTTCAGATACCATTAGTTCCGAAAATCCGAGTTCATGCATAATCGCAGAAAAATTACTAACCTTCTCATACTTCTCTTTCAGGCTCAGTGCAGAGTATCGATTAACTGCAATTAGCATGTTTCCAAGCATATGGGCAACAAAAGATGAGCCAGCTGTCACAGCAGCGACCAAAAGCAGAGGCTTGAATTGTGGATCCAAGGCAACGTTCCCATAGTAATTGCGAAGTAAACAACAGATAGAAAGAGATATTACGTCAGCAACTCCTAGACGAAGATCAACAGTGTTTCTAGGGCTTGCAAATATTTTTGTGTGTCTTGACTGAATGGACAAAAACAACGTCAAACAATTTCAGAGTGAAACATTTGCTTCACTTCTACTTGATCTGAAATGAGTAGCCTGCGGTAGTAACGGGATGTAAACATACTTCTATGTATGACAACTAATCTGCATGACAATAAAACGTAGACCGTCGAAAACACGAAAGGCGTGAGCGGTGCCGCGTTCCACCAAGAAATATTGAGCGTGCGGAAGACAGCAGGTGGCGAGAAGACTTAGTACAAAGATGAGCAGACCGTCACCGTCCGTGATGCAGTTCCGTGTTGTCATGTGGGCGTCGTCGGTCCCAATATAGCTTTTGCGCGCTAGCCGTACATCTTCCGCAAAAAGGGTGCAACGTCTACGCATGCAGAATTGGTCGTTTATACAAAAAAAATGCGCTGAGATCATCCTGGATTCGGCCTCCAAGGATCATTCAAGAACAATCTGCCTTAGTTATGAAGAGCGTGTTTCTACAGCATGCAGTTGCTTTTTAGTCTGAGTAACACTATTCTATTGCACCAGCACTTCATGTAAGTGGAAAGGGAACGTCTCTTTGACAACAGTGTATCCTGTGTGATGGTTGCGTTGCGATGCTTCAGTTCTGGTTCCACAGCGGGCCTGACAAATACGTGCCCGCTTTGTGACATTTAGCATCCCAGTTGTACTAAACCGATATCTTACCTGTTGCCACAAACATGGAGTAGAAAGGATTTCTGAAGGCTTTCACCTCAGATGTAATAATAATGAATAGGACAAAGTACATAAATTGAAGCGAGTACAGCCTCTGCTATAGTTTGTAGCACGCTGAACATGATGTTTTTGAACTTTGTTATCCTAAAGAGTACATATTATTGTTGATCATTTTACATCATTCTACTATCACACCTTCAGAAATTTTTTCGCCAGGATTTCAGTCTGAAAACGATTAGCCTCACTGCGTGATAAATTTACATCTGGGGCCGTGAACTATATGGATGAGGTTTTATGTCTCACGGTAAAAGCCGCCCTCCACCTCAGTTACGTCTTTTCTGTAGAATGGCGCAGTGTACAATTATGTGTGAGGGGACAATATGTTCTGGGGTGCAGCTTAAGAGGGTTAACTTGACTACTCCAACTGAATAGGGAATGGTCCTGCTGACAATGCGAAGCACAGAATCAGAGTTCATGGGGTGATAGACCCTCAGATGGTCCCAATCATCACGTAGCGAGATTGTAGTCGACGCGCTGTAATGCTCTTCTACTGCAATCGCGCTCTAATGCCATTGACGGGAACGTCGCCGCAGACGCGTATTGCTCTGCCCAAGCGCTCGTTTTCTTAGAGAATGTGGATTGCAGGAGTGTGGCTGTGTTCAAACTGTCTGGCAACGTCTACCAGCGTCCATGAGTGTCTCCAGGGCCTGGGAAGTATAGGTATCGACCTAGTGTCTATCAGCGTGTGCCAGCGTGCACCAATGTCTACCAGCCTGCGGGAGAGGAGAGTATGGCGCGAGAAGGGTAGCAGACAGCTGGTAGGGAGTATGGCGCGATTGGTAGATACCAACTACCTGCTACGCTCCCATTGCGCCATACTCTCTCGGAGGCTGGTAGACGCCGGTGCCTATACTTGCCCGAAAAGGAGTTTGAGAGCTACCACTAATAAGCTTGGGGGCTTTGCGATCCAGGAGACTTGGGTGTACCGGCAAAAGAGTTTTTGCTCCAGGGCACATCATTACTTAGGAGCTCTGGTTGACTCCGTACGCCCCCCCCCTCCCCCCGAAAGGTGGTTTGGTTACCTTCCTCCCTTGTAGCGTCCGTGAACAGAGAAAAAAATCAACAGAACATTTTTTTTCACAGACAAAAACGACCTCCTCAGCGATCTGATCCCCCAGTTGGCGAATCCCCAGCGATGATGTGCCCTGTTTCACGCAATGCAGTGTCACGTTAGTGTTCGTCATGTCACAATACTGCTGAGAGCAGATCTCTTCCGGAAGCAGGAATGCCACCGTGACTTCAGAAGTAAAGCACCCATAGAGTGCAGTTTAGTTCACTGTACAATTTGCACCTACAGATTGAACTACAGACAGATCCTGTGCAAAATCTGATATTGCCTTTTCTTGCACAATCATTCTTTTGCAGTTCCAGTTTTTCTGGTTGCAGAAGGTAAACCCCTTGGACGAGAAATCGATGACGGGCTGATCTTAGAGAACCACTGGCGGTCATTATTCATCTAGTGTTGGCCCTTTTGTGCGATACCAGGTCCGAATCTTATACCTGGCCTGAAATCTGACCCAGCGGTTGTATTGCTGCCTGAGCATAAATGTGAAGCAAATACGGCACGAAAGCTTGTGATGTGCGCTACAGGCATTTGAACATCCTGGTTTTCTCGCTCGACTCTCAAAAACTTCGCGTTGACACTAGTGGAAGTACAAGGATTTTGCAGTAATATTCCACTGGTCCGTTGCTCCAGTGCAGAACTCCACAAACTGCCTTTATAGGGGAGGGAGGAGGATTTTTCCATGGACAACCATGGGAGATACCGCGGGAAAAAACGCTTTATAACTTGTCTCAGAGAGTTGTTTGCAGGTAAAAACATACGTAAGTGTCAAGGAGTTGGTTTGATGGTTAAGGTCTGAACAAAAATGGACGTTTTCACCCCAGTAAGATGCATTGGAGCATGCCATGCTGCCTTGTTCAAGGGGATGCAGACGAGCCGAGGCAACACAGCTGATCTGAAATCTTCCTGGACAGACCTCCCGAGAAATTAACGGATCATGAATATTAAACAATTCCTGGCAACATTTGTGTCATTTTCGCGATCGGGGCACTGACCCTTGACTAGAAAGCTACTTCTGCTGAGATTCCGGGTATATAGCAAAGGAACTGCGCCGGTCACCTTGTTTCAGGAGAAAGACACGAGAGGACGAGAAGGATAAGTGAACGATAACAATGATTTGTTCGATATGAGGAACTGATTGGTTATGGGGAGAATTAGACTTGAATTAATGCTGAACCTTAGAGTAACGACAACTTTATCGCACACTATACGCAACCCGACAAGGAGGAAAATAGCTGCCCGCTAATTTGAAATGTTTTGCGATATCCCTGATGTTTTGCAAACGATAAACAATGGTGCTGAAAAGAAATTAGTGTTTATTCAGAAACGAAGCGATCGCCTGGTTTTTCTCTTTGTGAGCTCTATGTGTTCGCCTTCCCGCTGAAATGGTTAAACAGTGTAACCTTCACAGGGCTTGACTTGCAAGCCCCTATGAAACAGTGGTGTGAAAAAGTTCACGACTCCAATGTCTGTGGTTTGCTTGCTCTTCAGCACGGCTCTTTGCGTATTCTCGAGTAGTGGGGTGAGGACGAGCTTTTGGTGGTGTCTTCAGGGGTGGTAACGCTCAAATTCCCAATCTGAACTACGAGTTGCTGTCAGAAAGCAGCTCGTCCATTCGTATTCGGAGCAATCAGCGAAATTATACGTTTTCGGCGCTACAAGAGCGCCACTGCCACTTTGCCTTAAACTGAAAAGTGGCAGTGGCGCTCTTGTAGCAAATAGTCATCAAACTGGTTGAGGTGTGTTATTTGTTTCCATTTCCATCGCCGCAGTACTACAGTAATTTACAACTAGTTGGATTAGTAGATAGAGAGAGAGCTGTTAAACTGGCATAGATAACTTGAACTCAGCCTTTAGGGAACCATGGTTGTCTAGTTTCCGCATAAGAACACGTGCAAAACGGAAACTAGACTACTTCCTTGGATTCAATAAAAATAAAAAATATAAACAAAGTTCCATTCCTAAAATTTCAGTATATGTAAATCATATCATAGTTTCAGACATCGGTTTTGAAATCACTATAAATGTACAAACTAATTAAATAACATTTAATTCACATTATAATAGCGCTAGCTTCCAGTTTTTATCTGGGCTCTCACGTCTGCGCGAGTGTGTACGACCATTGCGACCTCAAACAGTCCAACTTCTCACGCATGAATGTGGCTGATATGTGCCAAACCCATCCCTTAGTTCCCTCCTTTTCAAGTATCTCATCTCCAAACTCACGAATTCTTTACTGTGAACAATTCGATGCCTTAGCAGCTATAGTTCTCTATTTCTCTGCACTCGGGCTTTGGCGCCAGGGCCCCAATAGAGGCTCCAGATGTCACATGACGGTCGATTTGAGAGGAACACACGCCGAGGAAGTCGGGAGTAAAGACAGTCCCCATGATCAAGTATTGAGGTAGGGGGTGTTCCATTATGAACGAGCAGCCGATGAGTGACTTGAAGGTATAGAAGAAAACATTATTACAAAAGTTCTTGAAAACACCTTAAACAAAACCCTCCCTGACACTTACACCGCCTCTTTCTACGAGTTCTCCGAACTTGTTGGCAACACGACAGCCTGCGGGTGCAACCCCTGATTCCCAGATCGTTCATCCTGGATCTTCAAGTACTTGGTGCCCTTAATGCTAGAAGTGAAAACGAAAAACAAAAACACTGGAAGAAAAACCGCATGGAATCAGGACTACGGTAGGCAACGCACGACGAGCTTTTGCTCATACATTATACAGCACTGAAACAAAAAAAAAGAAATAAAATAATCTAAGCAGCACCCAACTGCAACTTGCTTCGCGAAATGGAAAATGACTGATGACGTATTATTCCCAAAGTATCCAGGGAGGGCAGAACTTCTTGTGTGCTCGCACAAGTCGACAAGCTGAGATTTTCTTCGATGCCCAGAAATCGTCCTACGCATTTGCATGCAACAGAATGCATACGCTTTCTCCGTGTACATAGTGTCTTGCAGACTGAAAGAATAAAGTGCGCAAGAGACGCGCGTCTGTGGCCGCCTCATCTCACCCTTTTGAAAGCGATGCACACTACATACGCGAATGCGAATCAGGATGCTTAGTGCGCAGGGCACTTCGCAGATCTTTTGAACGCGGGAACTGTCTTTAAGTTGATGGGTGCCGATGCAAATGCTGCTTACATCATGTCGCCTGCAACGTTACTTCGCCGCACTCGTTGAGACAAATTCACCCACTATTTGGGTACGATTTTGTGTAGCCAGCATGATAAATGCTTGGCATGCAGCTGACTTAGTGGCATATTTTCTGAACCTCTGCTCTTTTGCTTACCACCACTTTGGCTAGGCGCGCTGTAGTGCGCACCTCGCAGGGGACCCAGTAGAGGTTCTAAATGACAGGATATTCTGCACTTTGCACACCCTTCTTTGTTCTGGTGGCAAATCGTGGGAACAGGTTGTTCAGCATGAAGAAAATTTTTTGCTTACTGATTTTTTTTTACTCTCCGCTGACATCATTAGAGATAAAAGCAGCGATTGATTCCGATTCTGTTGACGTCGTGATGGCAAAAGAAGAACGTGCCTACACTGACTAATTGGCGAATTTGTGGTAAGAAGTAGTGAGAGATGTATTGACACCTCTTATGTATTTAGATCAATTGATATGACTACCTTTCACTCGTCAGCAATGTCCTTATCACTAAGCCTTTACCACCTCTCTGGTCTTCGTAGTGTGAAAGCTCTACGACCTTGACGAACGGCAATCCCTGTCGGTTCGTTTAAGTTGCTATTCCTTTCTACACCCGCTGTACCGCTCGTAGATTCGGAAGTAGAAGGGAAGAGTTACTTTCAGCTACAAAACGCCACTTACTTCTGAAGAATTGTGTAAATTCCAACCTTCCTTCTGCAGGGAAAGGGGTATTCCTCACAATATAATCCTTTGTAATTTCCACTTTCTCATGTGATATGTTCTCTGTCAACCCTAGAACACGCCACTTCCTATCGCTGTACCCTTTCACCTCACCCTTTCCTCCTCCGAACAGACGACGTTACCAAAGCGCGAAGTCGCTAACACTTTTTGAAGGATGGCTCCTCCCGATGCGCACAAAATTTGCTCTTATTGTCTCCAATATCTAGTACAATATTTATTCAATAGGTGGAGCGGGCAAAGGTTCGACGTTTGAAAAATTTGTTAACGCCTGTAGCGATGGTCTGGTTTTCACGTGCAGAAGCAGATACGACGTTGCTGCGATGATATCTTTCGACATCGAAAGAAGTTGTATATGTCGCGCGGAGTTCCTTGTTGAATATCAGCAGAGAGAACGGTGGTATACTGACCATAACGTCATTCAGCCAAGTAAAACTAGAAAAACAGAATATTAGGAAAGGTGACTATTGCTGAACAATAGTAATAGCTGCAGAGTATTAGAATATCCTGCATTTAGGACCGCTAAATGGATGCTACAATAAAACTGAACTCATACGGCGTCAGTGAGTTTGCTTCTTCATAACTGGGATAACTGAGGAAAAAACTAGTCTCGGGTAGCATAGCTAGAAAAATGCAATATCAGGGCCACTCCAGCCCGTCAACATAGGCGGGACATGAGTGGAGCAGGTAATTCAGTATGGGTGCTAGCCCGCTTACACGCAACATTTTGTAATTTCTTGTCAGCTTTCATTTCTTGTCCTGTGGTATAAGCGGTAATGTTTGGCAAATTCCTTCAAAAGCTACAAAAAAAAGCCCCAGCTCAGACTGCAGGCCACTCCTCTTAGTTTTCAGATTGAAGACACTTACTGTGGCAAGAAAATCGGAAACTTCCTGAAGCAAGGAGGCGGGTGAGCCGGGAGATGCGTAGATGAACCAAGCTCCACGGTTGATGAACTATAGCTTTTATGCGAAAAAAGAAAATCTCCGCTCCTGAAAACGGGTTTGTTTGCAAAAACTACTATCTTTTCTAGCTGCCTACGTCTACGCGGTACAGCACCTACACCATGCAAAGAAGCCGTCGTGTAAAGCGCTCCTTGGTCTGAAAGACATTCGGGTCAGCGAAGGTGGACTGACGATAACTGAACGAGTGAGAAGTCATAACCTATCTGTCGCTGCAGGATAAGGTACTGCTAGTAGGTGATTGAAAACGCCTCTCAAATTTTTGGAATTTTGATTGGAACTAACCTGCATATTTATCCAAAGACGCAGTGCATCATTTTCAGTCACGGTTGCGAAACCTTTCAATATTTGCTGAGAACACATTAACGAAGTGAACAAAAACACAATTGTTGTATAAAACAGCATACCCTGAAGTGTTCTTATTTTGAGCTCAATTAAGGAGAACCTAGGCTCTCATATCCTGAAGGGTAAACATTTTGAGCTCAATTAAAGAGAATCTAGGCTCTAACAAGGAAGGTCTTTCAGGTCATGGCGCGCTTTTTAGAAATGGATTTGTTGCATGTTGTAGGGGTCCATATAAGGATCACAAAAATGGGTTTCGTTTTTGCTATGCATTTCTGGGAATGTCAAAAAATGAGTGAAAATTTGCTGAGGAAAAGCGATTTTGAACCATTTTTCTAGGCTCTTTTCTATTTCTAATGTCGAGTATACGTAGGTGGGAAACTGGGGGGAAACGCTAGGTGCGCTGATCGAGTGCCACTGTCAACCAAGTGGTCGGTCCATTATCACCAAAACCTCCAAAATTTTTTTGCTGGAAGTTCGTATACAGGAGTAATTGGTAGCCCCGCTCACGATTCTGACACTTATTTTATGCGCCGAGGCCATTTGACGCCAGCATGGCGCTTAACAGCCCCTGCGTGCGGGTTGACAACGATTTCAGTGCAAGAATGCTCTTGCAGCAAATCGGCGATAGGTTGCGCCGTGGTCAAAAATGAGTGTCGTACTCGTGAATAGGGCATCCAGTCATCCCCGTAGCCCAAATAGTTACTAGGGTCGACTCGTGAACTATAAGTGTATAGAATGAGGTCATAAATGGCATATATCCATGTTATATACATCATCACGCACGCAGGAACAAAGGAGACGGAAATCCGAATAACGCAAAAAACTCGCTGTCATGAGAATCCGATCCATAAACCACTTTTACGAGAGCCCACCGCACTATCCACTCCGCCATCCGTCGACCACGAAACAGTTGTTGCGGGAATCGTTGAAGTAACTTCGGTACTACTTCTCTCCATGCACTTTCTTTTTGACTTTATTTTGCTCTCTTTTTGATACATAGTTAAGGACCTCATAAACTATGCACTCTCAAATTTGCAGCTACAACAGAGCCCAATAAGCCGGTTAAAATCGCCCTTTCTTGTCAAATGTTTTCACTCATTTTTTGGCATTCCCATAAACGCATAGCAAAAACCCATTTTTGTGACCCTTATATGGACCCCTACAACATGCAATAAACCATTTCTAGAAAGCGCGCCATGATCTGAAAGACCTCCCCTGTAAGTCTAGAGTAAGGTGACAACGGAATCGATGGCATTTCGAGCAAGCGCATAACAACTCTTTCGCCTCTCAAAAAGCTTTCTTTTAATTTCGCGTGATTGATGGACCGCTACTGGTATAATAATGACGCTACTTACCCTCTCATTGCGAAAACGTCTCGCGAACTCGCTGACTTTCAACAAGCTTTGTAAAAGGACAAGCGATTTGACGTTGAGAATAAGGCTAACAACCGCGTAAAGTAGACATGCAGCAACGTAGGCGACCCTGTTAATCTGAAAATATCAGAGTTCTTCAGGTGTGAAGATGTGTAGCATTTCACCATTCTCACAGCATCATACTGCATACATGAACTTAGTACTATATAATCTGGTACGTGCAGTCTGTATGACAAGGTTGGACGGAGCGTGCATAGGAGCGCTGCACGAGTGTTTCACCAAAGATGTCGTGACATTGACTGTTGTGACTGCTTTTTATTCCCTCTGCTTCACACGAACTATCCTTTGTGACCATGGCTATATGTCTGCGTGTGTGCGTTTGTCACCAAAATCTTGGCTCAGTTTGCTGCAGCGGTTGAACCTTGGTTTCAACAAGTGAGATAGTGGCAGGCAGGAGCACCACTGGTGAGTGATAGGAAGACTTGACAGCTGATAAGATTCGACAAGGAGCTTTCAAGATTCAAGGGAGAACGTCACCAGGTTCACAGCCCATGTCACAACAGCAGTGGAGTTGTTTCCATATAATACAGGAATGGGTCAAAAAATTGCTGCCGTTTGACAGAACAGGTAGGGGCCAATGACCACAAATGTCATAGCAGTGACAGTGAGTTCTGGTACCAGGAAGCGAAGTTGGATCTAAAACGGAGATATCGACGACAGAAGCTGGTCACACAGATGAAGAGGGGCAATGAAAAGTTTGTTCAGCAGCAGTTGTTAGGAAGACACCGTTCACTTACATCGCTATCGGAAACGATACCACCAAGCGCATCGATTATTAGGCTTTTGAGAAGTCCTTTTTCTGCGTGGGGTATCGAGTATGAACCAACTCGGCTAAAGAAGCTAGTTCGAGGGCTTCAAGCGTAATGAAAAGTAACGTTTCTGAGCAGGAAATCTCGAGAGGAAGATGACTTTGTGCGACGCAGTGTTATTCTATTATTCCCTCAGTAAACTGGCTGGAAAGTTGCTAAGGTCCGCGAATGCAGACAGGATCAAACTCTCTTAGAATGGACAGGATAGTGAACGGAGTGGCGTAGCCGTAGCGGAACCCCCCCCCCAAATGTCGCCGGTGCATCGTAATTTGGTTGCCCTGATCTGCATTGTGTCTCCTCTGTGAATAGGACTGCGTTTCCTCTGTCATTAGGATGAGTCATCGATCACGGGCTCGAGGCTAGGTACGAAGGAGACTCACTAGACAATACTGACCATCAAAATTCGGAGGGGTCAATCACAGGAGAGAAGAACGCCAGACAAAGGGTGATAGTCCAGTCCACGACATAAGGACCTGTGGCGAGCTCTTAGCGAGGACCACCTGGAAGATAACCTGCAGCAGTGGTGTTAAACAAACGAAGATCGACCATTTGCGTGTTAGAAGGTTATCTCTCAAGACTGTAAAGAACGTCAAATACTGTCCAGCGAAGAAATGTGTCTTCAGCACAGTAATCTTCAAGCGGAAATTGCATAGAGCTTCACAAGAAGACGACATTGTACCAGAGCAGAGATTTCAGTGGTGGAAGTAGGGCAAGTGGAAGAAGATGAGCAGTGCAGCAGGGCACTGAAAACTAGTTTTTCAACTCTTAGCGAGGACAACGGAAACAGATCCTCGTACGAGGGAGTTTTGCTCCTGGTTGGCGAAAGTACGGCATCGAACTAAGGAGATAAAGACTTTGAAAGGCTGCAGCAGCACCCGAAGGCCAGTAGTCAGAATGACGTGGGGAGAGTAGTTTGGAGGACTGCCGAACGAGATATCCCCGGCAAGGACAATGTAGAAGTAATGGCAATCACCTTTCAGG